CAATGTAACTTATCTTAATATGAAATGTTAGAAAAAAAAAATGTCCAGACTTTCCATATCCTTAACGAAAATATCACCCACAGTGCTCTGGGATGGTAACTCTTGTTGGAAAGCTCAGCACCCAAATTGGTTTCATTAACAATATGGAGGTTCTGAGCTTTTAATATTTACAATTTCTTGTTCTTACTTGTTTTTTCACAGCACAAATATATTTGATCTGGGACTTTCTAGTAACCCTCAGAATACCTTCTCAGCTTTTAACCACATGTACAGTGTTCCACATTCTTAATTCATCAGTTTTAATTCTTTTCAATTTTTCAGTAAGAGTGCACACTACATTAATCATTAGAAACAGTTCCACTGCATCTTTCCAGAAAAAAAAAAACAAATAAAATCAAAACTTTATATTTATTCTGTGGTACAAAAACAAACTTCAAAGATACAGCTCCATATTCCAAATAACATACTTTGCAGGAATTAGTCATAAATAACATATACACATATATATTTTTTTACAAAGATTTATGACATAAAACATTCCATCTACTACTCATGTACAAAGAAAAGAGGTGTTCAGATTCTAATTTGTATCATGATAAATAGACATCAGTTTTATACTTGTATGGATACAGCTATAACAATAAGTAATTTCTATACAAAAAAATATGCATCTAATAAAGCTGTTTTTTTCTCTATTGAAACTCTTTACACAAAACAATGAGATTTCTATACACTCTTCCATATTCAGCATTAACAATGTTTACATTAGCATGGAAAAAAAAGAGCTTGAATATTTCTTAGGGCCCTATCACACTAGCACTTTCTCTGTCAACTTTTGCATTTCCTTATGAACTTTCTGTATGCAAATAGACTGACCCTATCACATTACCATGGCAGCAAACATTACATCCATGTAAACAAACATGGCACCATCTGAAAAAGGGTCTGGGAATCACACTAGCATTCTCACACACTTTATTTTAAAGAACCATAATTATGTATAATAACATACAGAATTATTTTAGAATATTAACTGATGTTCACATTAACTTATTCTAATTCATCAATAAAATACATACTGGTTGTATAGATCCTCCACAGCACAAGATTAAGACAGATATGGTCGCTACCATCTCCATCTGGGAGGTGTTGTTTGCAAATGATTCTTTCAAAAAGCCTCAAATTCATACAAAAAATGTAAAATTGACTGAAAATGTGATAAGGCCTTTATACTGTCATGGATTACCTTTATTTCCTATGTGTCCCTGTGGACACATTGTTTTCTTTTTTTGCATTTACGAAAGGGGAAGAAAAAAAAGCACAATCTGATCCAGCAATTGTCAAATAAGCCCCATCATTATAAATAAAGTTAAGTGGAATGTTTGCAACTTCTATACCATCTCTCCACAGTTTTAGCAACATCCTGAGTCATCTAAACAGCGCGCTCCTTAACAGAACCATCCTGCATTCCAAAGTATGCAATTTTGGCCATGTTCACAAATAAGCCAGTTTCGACAACACCTATAAAAGGAAAAATTGTACATATAACATACAATTAACAACAAAGAGTGCAAATGCAAAATGGATATCTGCATTTTAAGTGCAAATTACAAAAGATTAATCAATAAATAAGAACTATCAGCTGACTACTCACCTGGTATCATCATGATCTGTTGATTAACTTCACTCCAGTTGTGTTTCCCATCAAATACCCAATCCAGAATGAAGTTACCATTATCCGTCACCACTGGACCCTAGAAATGAAAAGTGAGATGGCACAAATTGAAAATGAACATCATAATGGTATAATGACATCTATTCTACTAAGCATCAAATTTTACATATTATTCATATTAATTACAATCAAATTTCTCTTAACATCACAGATTTTCAACCTACAACCTATGGACAATGAATGTAACATTATTTAAGATATGCAAAATATTACACACAAAGGCTAAATACTTTCTATCAGAATAAAATATTTACATGACAAAGTACAGCAACAGAAAACATGAAACAAAATGTAAAAGGTCTTCTTGTCCATGGAAATTCAAGTAAGTAACTGAGAGAACTTCTTGCCAGTTTCCCTACTTACAGCTTTGGACTTTGCCTGCCGAAGGAGAGCCTTCCCCCCCAACATCGACTCGATCTTCAACTGAATGGGTCGGTATGCCATGGGGACCACTTCAATGGGGACCCCTTTGCTCCACTGCTCTCCTAGTAATGATGAATCTTTCCTGTAAATAGAATAATGGGAATATAGAGGTGTTTTATATATTTGCAATTTTAATGCTACTAATGCCCACAAGCAAACTTTAAAAGGAATATAATAATTATGGTAATTATAAGAAAAAAAGAAAAAAAAAAAAAATGAAAATCAAGTACAAGTAAAATCAATTGAAGTGGATATGAGCAACACATATGTCAGGAAAATGGAGTAAAAAATATCAATAATAATAATAACAATAATAGAAAAAAACAACTTAAGCCAGCACAA